ATTTAGAACTTTTAAGTGATTATAAATAATAAATAATATATAAATTAAAAAAAATTTAAAAAATAATTGAAATGAAAATATAATTTGTGCGTAAATTTTATTAGAAATACATAAACACAATTTATATAAAAAATTTAAAATCGCGCATAGCGCAATTAAATTCACTAGTATTTATGTAACTTTGAAGGGCATAGAGGTCTCCAAATTGGAAGACATAGATGCCCAAAAGATTATGATTTAAGAAAAGGGATCTCTTGAAAATTCTAATAAAGAACATTATATGATGGAGGAAAGGATTATTATTCTCTAACAAATAAATTATAGTATTTACTTTTTAAATATATTTGGTTCTAATCAAATTTTAGGATTAGATACGTCCTTGTACTTTAAAAAAGTTCAAAATTATCCTATAATATTAATTTCTCATATTCCATCTAATTTTTTTTATATATATTTACGCGACACATAATTTTTTATTAAATTTACTTGGTCGTTTTGTATAGATATTTTCTTGTGTAAAGCACGAAGAAAAGTCATGAATATATGTTTTTACTTCGTATATTAGCTAAGTTTATTTTTAAATATACTATAAGATCAAATATGCCTCTATTTTTTAAAATGGACTCAACCCAATCCACTAAACTAAATAATACCCCTATCATATTAATCTCAATTTTAATCATCCTAATGCATTTTTAGTTGATCTTGAGATTCCTTTCAATACATGGGCACTTTTTTCCCACTTTAATAACGATGGGAGCATATTTGACTATATAGTATAATTAACGAGCTGTTTTTGACACTTTTTAAATAGCTAGAGGGTTTTTTTATCTTCAATATTAGGAAAAAAAACTATACTATAATTAATTTTTTAATATAGATGTAAATTATTGTCCAACGGTCGACTCTTGGTGCATATTAAGGCACATAGTAACCGTTGTTGAGACAAACTCCTCGTCTTCCACAATTCACGATTTACATATCTAATATCTCTGTTTCCTTTTTTGTTATTTGAGTTGTTAATTTTCTTCTTCTCTATTCACATAATCATCAATGGAAGGTGCAAAAGGAAATGGTGGTAAAGTTCAGCATGTTACAAAGGCATCATCAGATCAGTTACTGAGGAAGTTTGCTGAGATGGATTCTGAATTAGAAGTTAAAAAGGAGCTCAGATTAGCTAAAAGAAGGAAAAGAACACTGCAAACGAAAGTTGATACTAATAATCATGTTTTCGGAGAAAGGAAGTCCCTGTTACCTCCCGCAGCTTCTCAAAGATCTGCGGCGCTGATTGTAAAAGCAAAGCTTAGAGCTAGAAATCTCAACAACAGATCCTTTTTTGGTACTATTGAGAAGGTTAGAGTAATTCATTCTTCATCACTTGCTATTTCATCAGCAGATTGACTGATTTAATTATCAAATAAGCAATAATAATAACAGAGCAAGCTAATTTCATCAAATAGCTTCAAATATTTAGGCAGAGATAATTGATTTCAGGATTAGTTTATTCCATGTTTTTTTTGGGGATAAATTGTAGTGTTAACAATTGGAATAACTAATCTAATAACTTATTCCCGACCAAACGAATCTTAGTGCATTCGAGTAAAGATATTGTTATATTCTGATATTGGTTCAAATTAATGTTATTGTTAGGTTTTATTTGCCATAAATTTCTTACTATAAATGGATTTTTATTTTAGGAAAATGTTCTGTATTGACTAATTTTTTTTTGTAAGAAAATGTTTAGGATTCTATAAATAGAGGACTATTCACAAGGTAGTCTTAAAGCCTTTGAGAGTGTTTTGGTTAGAGGGATAATTATGGGTCACAAGCTTGATATGTTATCATTTGTGTGAACTTCCCATGTATTACGAGTGAATTGGTTGAGGTTGTTTCCCTTTGTATTTTTGGATTGCTCATCTCCTTTGTGGACGTAAGTCGATTGTCTAAATCACGTTAAATCTCTGTGTCTTTTGGTATGTTTCTCATTATCTTTTTACTCGTAGTCTTTCGAGGTTTGCTTTGCTAACTTCTGCATTTACACCTGCTTATTTTCGGTCCTTACAGTTATAATGATAAGTTTGTTCTAAATCACTTTTTTTTTCTACATATGGATAGACATGGCGCAGAACTGTACAAGGGGCTTCAAAGGTCTTCATTGAGAAGCATTACAATCGGCATAGGCGTCTAATAAGTGATACAGAGTATTAGGTAAAGATGTGTTAAAACAAGGTTGGCTTCTTACTATATTCTTCCATCTATAGTAAGAAATAGTAACTACATTCTTTATTTATTTTTCTTCCTAGTGAAGCTGCTGCTTTTGATTTTTTAGTGTGTAATATTGTTATTTGATTCTTTAACTTGTATGTTTGTGTAATTTTGACAAAAGAATAAGAATTGCTGAATCACAGTATTGATGATTCTATGTTGTAGAACATTATGTTGGTGAAATTAATGTATTCTAAACCCCAAGTTGAGTATGTTTCCATATGCTCAAAAGGAAAGCAAGTTTCTGAGGAGAATTATTGCAGAGAAGCCAAAGACGGACGAGGAAAATGATGATCCTAGAGGCTTTATACAATAGTATAATAAAGCAAGTAGATATATTTCAGTAGCACAATCTTATCAAGAATTACGAGGCTGTCAACATGAATTTATCATGTCTGATGGCCAGCTCAAACATGGGAAGAGTCCTCTAGCAGTGAGAACAACTCTGGAAACTTATCAAGGACTAGAGTTGTGAAGACTTTAACCCCCGTAATGTATTCTGAGTAGTCAAACATGGGAAGGATTGATGCTTCAAAATGTTGAAATTCTTTCTAAGATCATCCCATCTCCTAATATCAGTTCAAATGATCCATATTGCTATTTTAGATCGATTAGGATTTACACTTGGTGATTGATTCATATAATCAAATATAACTGGCGCATGTATAACTGATTCTTCATGATCATATAGTAAAAATGATGCAAAATTCATTTCATCACAACCATTTTCTACTAAACTTAAAGACGTATATGTCTTTCATTTCTGGTGTGATCTTTTCAATTAACAATCAAAAAGCCTTGTGCAAAATTTAGTTGTGTGACTGTAGAAAGACTGAGGAAATGAGAGTTGATTTGGGAATTTTCCGATGAATGTTCTTTATTGATGCATATATATGTATTTATACAAGTGTGTAAATACATATATACAACGAGAACTTTGTCTTTGTTTGAATCGCATCATCATCTTCACTAGATACTGTAAATCCAACAGTGACAGATGGTGAGTGAAAGCAATGTAGATTTGAGAAATCAACGTTTCCCTACTGCAACTTGTATGGATTCAGGTCCAACCTTCCAAGTAATTCCTTATAATTTGGCTCCAAGATCTGTCACTAGCTCTTGGTGCCAAGAAGTTCAAAAAGCAAACTGCATAGGTTTTGACATTTATCAACTGCATAGGCTTGTATTTGTGCATTATGCAACTTTGACTTATCGCATAACAAGCCATGTTATTTCAGATTCTTGCGCATGGACCCTAGATTTTTGTATTTGACATTATGTTCTCATGCCACACTCTTTTATTTATAAAACCTTGTTACCAGTTCAGCAGAAACCACAAGTATCAATAATGGATTTTATCATCCTTCTCATCGCCATCCTTGCTCTTTCTAGCACACCAATTACCATTATATCCGGATCTGTGACAAACCATACATATTCAACTACAAACTCTTACACCAACGTTGCTCTTTCTGCACGAAAAGTTGTATTTCCTCCTCCCAGACAGCTAGGAAAAGATAATTCTGATGACGATGACTTGATCTGCAAAACTTGCAAGAGATTATCAGAACACCGTACATGTTGTTTCAACTACTTTTGTGTTGATTTGTTCACCAACAGGTTCAACTGTGGCTCCTGTGGCCTCGTCTGTATCGTTGGAACAAGATGCTGCGGTGGGATCTGTGTGGACATCAAGAAAGACAACGGAAATTGTGGCAAGTGTAACAATGTATGCTCTCCTGGTCAGAACTGCTCATTTGGCCTTTGTGTCAGTGCCTAATTTAATGTATTTCTCTATCTGTACCAATAACCAATTCCCCTATCCCCTGGGTGAAATGTTACATCTTGTTCAAGTTTTTTAGTTAGATAACTAATTTTCAAGTTTTCTAGTTGCTTACATCTATATGAGAGATCTTTAAATAAAGATAATAGCATGATCAAAATCTTAAATCTCATATATTTGACAAAACATATCCGAAAACCATGTACAATCTAACAACAACAAAAATAAAGAGAAGGAAATTAAAAGGCAAACTGAAATGCTCTATATCAGACTCATTATAGAAAATCTTCAAAGCTTATTATAGATATAAATGAAGAAATTGTAAATAAGAATAGAAGCTATCGCGATAATAATTTGTTGCCCAATTGAAATGGTCTTCTCTTGTTCATGTTCATGCTTAGTAGAGTTATCTTCGACGATCTTAGGAGGAGAAATTAGTAAAGCCATGGATACACAATCCTCTGTTTTACCTTGATAAACAGCCCTTCCTATCACATGCTTGTATTGTCCACCACTCCATCTCTAAAACAATTCAACTCATGAAAATAAAAACATAAATCTTAAAGACTTCAAGTGACATATTACAAATCCACGAAAGAATGATTGTTATCATTACTTTTTTCCATTTTTTTAAATCTAAAATGATGGTAGAACAAAGTGGTTACTTAAGGGGCCCTTATGATGTTTGTAAAATACGAAAAGAAAGACACTACTAAAAGTAAAAGGCCTAAAGTTAAACACAATGATGGCCATCATAATGGATCATTTTATTAGTTTTTAATCTCAATGGATCGTGGCAACAAATTCATTCTGGTTAAAAAGATATATATATGTATATATATACACTCATAGACGTTAAAATTTATTACCTGTAAGAGATCTCCGATGGTGACAATAAGTGAATCTTTACCAGGCTGAAAAGAGACCCAACCTTTCTTAGAATAAACATGAAACTCTGAGCATCCATTGCTAACATGCAAGCACAATGCATGAGGAAACTCAGATCCTCTTATCAACATTCGAATCACATCGTATTTCAAGGTGTTCATCATGTACTCTTCATCCCCTTTTAAACTTCCTTTATGCTTGTGTAAATAGCAGATGGAGGTTGCTGGCAAATCCCCATTTTCGTCATCGATATTTTCATTGATTAATTTTTTAGGAGTATTTTGCTGCAGGAATTGTAGGATTCTTCCAGATATGTCTTCCATGCCATCCAAAAGTTTTTCCATCTTTTCACTGTCATTGAAATTGAATAATTTTAATTGATTAACAAGGTGAATTATCACCTAATATGATTTAGAATATCTAACGTTGATTCAGTCATCATCATTTAGCACGCATGCGAAGCATGAAGAGCAATAATTATATAAAAGGAGAAAAAAATAACTAACAACGTGTTTGCAATAATTTCATAAGTTATGTTGCTAGTGACGGAGTCAAGATTTTCATCAAAGTAAACATGTTAATAATGTTGACAAATGAACAGTCAAATTAGATATGACTTATAGGCGAGCTTATATACACTTTCCCAACCAGCAACCAAATTTGATAAGAGTATAATTGAATCACATTAAATTGATCGAAACGCATGGATTAACCATTGAATCGAAACAATTATGGTCATGACTTATGAGCTTACAAGCCTTGGTATTTATTAGAGGTTTTGATCATTGAATCATAGAATTAACAAACATTACCGCTAAATATTTAATTTACAATTTCATATTATCAATCTTACTACAAAGGGCTGATTAATTAAGAACAAATTAAAAGAGGGGACAAAATTGATGAATTTAATTACCTGAAATTTGAAAATCCAAGAGGCCAAATTCCCTCCATTTCTTTGTTGAAATTTTGATCTCCTCTGCACCAAACAAACTCTTCACTCGTCTCTCTTTCTTCCTCTCCGTGAAATTCCTCAAATCCATATGCCTTTTCCGATGACCTTGTCAATTTTTCCTTTCTCTCCGGTGAAATCCCAAAGATTCCATCCCCGGCAGATAAAACTAACTTGATCAGATCCCCTGAAATTCCATGGTTAACAACCTCAAAGCATCCAATCGTCGCAACTGAATCCAGAATTTTCGCGATTGCGTCACTGTCCAAGGACGCTAATGACTGAAAATCGAGTTTCGACGGATTGTGAATTGATTTTTGCCTCGGGAATACTCGATCAGGTAGCACGAGGTCTGGTACTCTTAACGAATTTTGCAGAAATTCCGTGAGGACTTCATCGTTCCTAACGCAGGATCGGCGTCCTGAGGCGATCGGAGATGGCGGCGGTGCACGGAAATCGATGAAGGAACTATCCGGCATTGTTTCCGGCGAAACTGCCATGTGTTTTAGAATCTAAACAGATTGGTTATATTGACGAAAATACTAGTAGAATTATAAAAGAGGAAAAAAAAAAAGAGGAGGAAGCAGCAATGATGAGAATGTTCGAAAAGTCGTATACAATTGGAGAATCGGCATGTCCCTTCGCTTTTAATATGCTCTGCTTTTTCACATATTAGCTCTGCTTTACAGGTATGATACTTTCTCTTCTTCCTTAACACTACTATTGCCTTTTGCTAATTTTCTTCATAATGGGCTGTTAATTAACTGGACTGACTTTAACGATAACTACTACAAAATAATCTCATAATCGAAATGCAAGATGCATTATATAGTTGTTATAGTAACATGAATAATAAGAACTACGACTACAAGCATACAAGAATAAGCAATCCAATCCTCTACAATGTCCCATCTCATGTCTAATCACGTCTTTTCAATACTTGTGCGTCTTAAACTATTTTGACAAAATTTCTAATGGATCAATTCAAATTACATGTCAGATTAGGTCAATAATCAATCTAAATTTAAGCAGATAAATGGGCTTAATTTGTCATCCCTAGACACTAGGTGTTCTTGTAACATCACTCTGAGTTGTGTTTTGAATCTCTTAAGTCCAGTAAGGAATGGCCCAAATAAAAACCCTAGACTTCCAAAATTCTCAAACACCATTCCAAAAGATGAAAATCCTATCATCAAAATCATAATTACTCCGAAATGTTCGATTTGATTGATACATTATGAATTTCACTTTTAATGTCATAAATTTTGTAGGTTTACATTATGGATTTTTTAAAACAATGACTTTTATAAATCTTTTCTTATATTTGGAAGGGCCCGTTAACCATAAGCCCTCTTTGAGTCCATAGACAGCTCTCTTATTGATTTTCATAGATATCCACTTGTAGGAATGTTGGTCGAAGTACTATTAACATCCTGTCTTTTTCTTTTTCTTCTTTGCATAGACCACAAAAATAAAAATTCAAAACAGATAATAACTTTCAAAATGTCTGGTCTCATTTTTAAGAAAAAAATTTGAAAAATACCTTGAAAGTTGACGAAAATTAAGTTTCATCTTCAAATTATAGACAATTGCAAAATATCTCTACACTTGATTAACTAAACTTATATACACCCTGATCTGCCACATCATATAATAAGTAGTCTCAAACTCTTGTGTTGCGTGTGACTGTTAATAAAAAGCTAAAAAAAATGTTGAAAACACTTCTAAACTTAACGAGAACTTAGGATTGTATTTCACTCATGTTGTGAAATCAAAGTTGTATTTAAGTTCAGTTAGTTTAAGACTATCAACACAGTTCGAGGATAAAACTAATAATGAACACCTAGTTTTGAAGTGTTTTTAATATTTTTCTCACTAATAACAGTATGTGCAAATTAAAATTAGATGTTTGATCATGTTTTATTGTAAAATTTGAAGAAAAAAAATAATCTTTGGCCATGAATACAAATCGAAGTAATTAATTCAACTTGTCGTGAGTAATTTCGAGCGTAAAAAATAACATGAATAAGTTTGTTGAAATAGTTGAAGAATCTTTTTCCTGGATTTGATACCACAGTTAACATCAATTACACACTTGACTCCCATAGGAAAAATGAATTATTTTCAATTGTTTAAAACTGGTATTACATCATACATGAAATCAACTCATTATTTGGTGTCGGCTACCTCAATATTCAAAGTAGCCACCTTGTTTTCACAATTTATATATATTTTTCATTTCCACTTGCATGGAATCATTGAATTATGCATATGTCACATTTTATACATGGTTTCCCTTTCACTTGTATAAATTAACTAAGTTGCTCCTATTTATATAAAAAAAAAAATATGAGTACAATTTTCAATAGTGTAGTGATAAAATTGTTTCACCTTTAATCAGAAATCTCTGATTTAAATTTGAAAAAATTGTGCGTCATTCTGAATAATTGCAAAAAATTAAAAATTACGTAATAATGTAAGAATGGTGACGTTATGTTCCCAAAAATATTTGAGTTTTTTTAAAAAAAAAAAAAAAGTGAATGATGTGATTTTAGTTTTTGAAGCGTGTCTCTCTGGGGACCAAATAATAATAATAGTAATAAAGGATAAGAAAGGATACGTGACGTATCTGGTTTAATGGGCCAAAAGTAGACATCAAACGAGAGCCCAATGGCCCACAACTATCTCTTGGAGTCCTGCAATAATTATCGTTGTAGGTAAACAAAAAGTCAAAATAATCTCAACCAACTTGATGCCTCAATCCTCTAAGCATATCCACCAACTTCTCCCAACCTTTGAAAACTTTTTTTTTATTATTTTTCCGTCCAATGTTTGAACCTAAGAATTTTTCTATATACACGGCTCGAATTTAAGATCTTTGATTAAGTGAATAACAACTTCATTCACGTCATCACAGTGTATCATTTGGTTGTAACTTATGAAAACGTTGATTGAACGTTAGTAGATTCCTTCCTCCGTTGCAATTTATATACTCTTTTCGTTTAAAAAAGAATGACTCAGTTTTCTTTTTTAGTATGTTTCAAAAAGAATGAATATGTTCCTTTTTTGGCAACACTTTGACTTTTCCGTAAGATTAAAGGACATTTTGGTACATTTGATATAACTTTAATTTAAAACCACAAAATTAAAAAGTTTT